TCCTCCCATGGGGGGTCGGAGGCGGCGGCCTCCGAGGCTCAGGACGCCCGAAAATTGACAAAAACCGCCGTCGTGATTTTTCCAAGACGTCGGAGGTCCAGGTCGTGCTTCCCGCCTCCCCAGACCTCCGACGTCGTAATTTTTGCGACCTCGGGCCCAGGAATCGATTGGGAAAACGCACATGGGAAGGCAAGAAATGATGGACCCATCATTTCGTACCTGTGCCTTGATCAGTGGGACGGGCTTCGCACCGCCGCACATCACAAGACACGCTCGAGCGGATCCAGCCATGGCGACGTCGGGGACTGCAGAAGGTCGCAAGGACACGGAATCTGAAAGGAAGAGAGAGAAAGATAGAGAGAAAGAGAGGCAGAGAGAGACAGACAGACAGAGAGCGAAGGAAAGAGAGAGAGAGAGAGAGAGAGAGAGAGAGATGGAGAGAGAGAGAGGGGAACAACAAAAAAAAACAGAGAGAGAGAGAGGCAGAGAGAGGCAATGGAGAGGAGGCGAGCTTGAGTCAACGAAAGTCGCAGGGAAGGGGGCAGGGGGAAGAAGGCCAGAGAGCGCTGAAAGATACAAATACTGGAACCCTCTTGGGATTTTTTGGGGGGCCTCGTCCGGCCGCTCGCTGGGAGTTTGACGTAGCTTCTCGGGAGCCTCTGAACCTGTCGGGGGCCTCCTGGAAGCAGGTTCGAAGCATTTTGGGGGCCGATTTGGGGCTTCTCGGGGCCTCCTTTGGGCCTCTTGGGGGTCTCCTGGGGCCTCTTGAGGGGCCTCCTTGGGGCCTCCTGGCGGCCTCTTGGGGCGGAAAGCTCGAGCTTGCGGTTCGTGGTCCCCCTCTGGGCCCCCTCTTGGGCCCGTCTTGGGGCCCTCTTGGGCCATCTTGGGCGCCTCTTGGGCCGTCTTGGGGCCCTCTTGGGCTGTCCTGGGGCCCTCTTGGAAGCTTCTTGGGCCGTCTTGGGGCGGTCTTGGGCGCCTCTTGGGCCGTCCTGTAACGTCGGAAAGCCCAAAAGGCAACTTTGTTGAAAATGTACGTTTTACGAAGGGAATGGGCCAATTTTTGCGTTTAGGGGCCCTCTTGGGACGCATGTTGGAGGCTTCTTGGGGCCTCTTGGGGGCGTCCTTGGACGTCTGGAGGCCATCTTCAGCATCTCGGAGCCCTCTTGGAGGCCTCTTGGAAGTTTCTTGGGCCGTCTTGGGCGCTTCTGGGGCCGTCTTGTCTGACCGGGGAGGCCTCCGGCAAGCCCCGACGAACCTCCGGGCCCCCCGGAGCCCACATTTGTGGTCGGGGTCCCGGCCCCGGGCCCCTGGACCCGGTGCGCCGTTATATGTATACTAGAACCACGCGCGCGCTTCGCGCGCGCTTAGGTTCTAGCTAGGATCGTCACCGTCGTCATCATGAACATCACCATCGCCATCATTCCCCCCGCCAGGGCTAATGTACATCGTTTCTGGATGCTTCTGGCCGGAATACGAAAGGAGTTTCTGTAGTTAGAGTCTCTGGGGGAAGTCGCGGGGCCCCTCAGGATACGTACGGATGCCTCTGATAATCCCCCAGCGTGCCCCACGAGATGGCCAGAGGGTGCCCGAACAGAACCCGAGGACGTCGACGACGGCGGCGATGAAGACGGCGGCGATCGCGGCGACGAAGGTAGCGGCGGTTGCCATGGGTTAGTACCCAATCAGAGCTTGCCTCTGTAAGGGTCCTGGCGGATTAAAAGGTTCGATGAGGTTCGGCAAAATTCCGGCCCCATGCGGCCGGGCCGGGTGCCCGGGTGCCCGGGTGCCCGGGTGCCCGGTGCCTGGGTGCCTGGGTGCCTGGTGCCCGGGTGCCGGGGTGCCTGGGGGTGCCCTATCGCCCTATAGCCCTGTAGCCCTATTGCCCTATAGCCGTATAGCCCTATAGGACTATAGCCCAATAGCCCGATATCCCTATATCCATCTAGCCCTTTAGCTCTATAGCCCTCTGATCCTATAGCCCTGTAGCCCTATAGCCCCATAGCTCTACAGCCCAACAACCCTATAGCCCAATAGCCGAATAGCCCACATAGCCCTATAGCCCTATGGCCCTAGCCCTATAGCCCTATAGCCCTACAGCCCTATAGCCCTGTAGCCCAATAGCCCTGTAGCCCAAGTCGTTTTCATCCTGAGTCGTTTTCTGACGGTCCCGGGAACCTGCGAGGGGCCCCGGAGGCCGAAAATTAACAAAAACCGCCGTCGTGATTTTTCCAAGACGTCGGAGGTCCAGGTCGTGCTTCCCGCCTCCCCAGACCTCCGACGTCGTAATGTTTGCGACCTCGGGCCCAGGAATCGATTGGGAAAACGCACATGGGAAGGCAAGAAATGATGGACCCATCATTTCGTACCTGTGCCTTGATCAGTGGGACGGGCTTCGCACCGCCGCACATGACAAGACACGCTCGAGCGGATCCAGCCGTGGCGACGTCGGGGACTGCAGAAGGTCGCAAGGACACAGAATGTGAAAGGAAGAGAGAGAAAGAGAGAAAGAGAGGGAGAGAGAGACAGACAGAGAGCGAAGGAAAAAAAGAGAGAGAGAAAGAGAGATGGAGAGAGAGAGAGAGAGAAACACAAAAAAAACAGAGAGAGAGGCAGAGAGAGGAAATGGAGAGGAGGCGAGCTTGAGTCAACGAAAGTCGCAGAGAAGGGGGCAGGGGGAAGAAGGCCAGAGAGCGCTGAAGGATACAAATACTGGAACCCTCTTGGGATTTTTTTGGGGGCCTCGTCCGGCCGCTCGCTGGGAGTTTGACGTAGCTTCTCGGGAGCCTCTGAACCTGTCGGAGGCCTCCTGGAAGCAGGTTCGAAGCATTTTGGGGGCCGATTTGGGGCTTCTCGGGGCCTCCTTTGGGCCTCTTGGGGGTCTCCTGGGGCCTCTTGAGGGGCCTCCTTGGGGGCCTCCTGGCGGCCTCTTGGGGCGGAAGGCTCGAGCTTGCGGTTCGTGGTCCCCCTCTGGGCCCCCTCTTGGGCCCGTCTTGGGGCCCTCTTGGGCCATCTTGGGCGCCTCTTGGGCCGTCTTGGGGCCCTCTTGGGCTGTCCTGGGGCCCTCTTGGAAGCTTCTTGGGCCGTCTTGGGGCGGTCTTGGGCGCCTCTTGGGCCGTCCTGTAACGTCGGAAAGCCCAAAAGACAACTTTGTTGAAAATGTACGTTTTACGAAGGGAATGGGCCAATTTTTGCGTCTAGGGGCCCTCTTGGGACGCATGTTGGAGGCTTCTTGGGGCCTCTTGGGGGCGTCCTTGGACGTCTGGAGGCCATCTTCAGCATCTCGGAGCCCTCTTGGAGGCCTCTTGGAAGTTTCTTGGGCCGTCTTGGGCGCTTCTTGGGCCGTCTTGTCTGACTGGGGAGGCCTCCGGCAAGCCCCGACGAGCCTCCGGGCCCCCCGGGGCGCACATTTGTGGTCGAGGTCCCGGCCCCGGGCCCCCGGACCCGGTGCGCCGATATATGTATATATGTGTGACCGTGTCAATGCGAGAAAGCGAACACACGGCAAAGAGCGAGAAGTCCAAGCGTCAGCTGCTCGGCCACTTTTTGCTCAAGATTATTTACTCCACATCCAGGCGACAAACAACTACGGCGGGGATCGGCTACTACGGGATGCATGCTACCCAGCGTTCATGCAGCTACCCTCACCTGCGCTGTAGTACTCCCACAAGGCACCCTTCTGTGGCTCAGACTCGGGATGCAAAAACTTCCACTCGAAAAGGCGCCACGACCTCAAGTTCGACATGTTGCAGATGCCGTTTCTGCACGATTTACAAAAGGCGGCGAGCGGCATGTCTGGCCTCGGATGGGGGCGCAGCTTGGGGGCCCAGTCCACTGATGAGCGTCCACGTGCAAATTCAGGAATATGCCTGTAATCCCACGTGAACCTGAGATTGTCGCACACGTCGCAAGGAGCGTGGCTCGGATGCGAGCCCAACCAATGCTCCGCAGAGAACCGACCCAACCCACAAAGTGTTAGATCATGGTCCGTTCCTTTAGGCAGCACGCCTTTGTCCATGGCGGCCCGTACCGCCGACAACATGGTCGACTCAAATTTCAAGGGCGGAGTCAGGCGGGAGATGTAATCGCATCTGGCCAACCACATATTCCCTGGATAGTGCTGGAACGGCATAGGGCTGAAGCGGCTGCCACACGCGGTGCAAGTTTGGAACATGTCCTGAGAATGGCACGCATCGGACCAGATTCCCTTCATGACGAATCGCCTGAAATTGTCGTTAAACAGACCTTCATGGTAAGCCCCTTTGGTATGCATGTACACCACAAGATCGGAATGGTGTTTTGAACAGTAATCGTAGAGGTGCTGCAATGTAACAATCTCGTTCCCAGTCTCAGACGACTCGACCAACTGGCACGTGGGGCATTGGAGCAGTGCTGGCACGCCGCTGTCCTTAGGGCCTATGAACGTCCACTTCAATTTCACGCTTTGGTCGAAAGCACCAGAGGCCCGCATCTCGGACAACTGCTCGTTGACAATTGAAGTTGTCAAGCTTCGGCTCCGATTTTGATGCTTGTTTTCCTTTTTTTCAAACACATGGTAGAACACTGTGAGCGGTCGTGGCCATGCCCGAATGCCCTGACCAGTCACATTACGAACACGTTCCATGCCCTGACCAGTTACAATATTCTGAGCAGTCACAGTGCTCTGACTAGTCACATTGCCCTGACCAGTCACATTACGAACACGTTCCATGCCCTGACCAGTTACAATCTTCTGAGCAGTCACAGTGCTCTGACTAGTCACATTGCTCTGACCAGTCACATTACGAACACGCTCCATGTCCTGACCAAATACAATCCTCTGAGCACTCACACTGCTCTGACCAGCCACATTGCTCTGACGAACAAGCCCGAACCGCCATGAACTGACGGGCTTGCACGCGCCATGATGCAAGACAAGAACAAAAACAAGGGGGAAAGAAATCTTCAAACATATAATGCTGAGCATTTGTGATCGCATTGGTCTCAAGATTATTAGCGCAGTATTAGCGCAGCAAGAATGCATACGGTGCGACATGCAACTTGCTAGAAAAATCGCCTGAGCCACAGTGGCTGCGGATCAGCGGCTCGGCCACCTTTGACGCATGATTAGGCCCTGGGCGCCAAGACTTCCAGAAGCACGACTGGTCGTCCACCGTGGCGGTGCTTCCACTGCTCCGAGCGTTGGGGCTCGCAAATGCCGTGGGCTGCAGCAGCCGCACAGATAGGCGGCGCGCCGCCCGGCCACTCAGGCTAGAACATCGTGTCAACGAGGCTGTGTCTCCCCTTTCCGCGCGTCGTTGTGAAACACAGGCCATCGTATGAGTTGGAGGCGGCCGGGGGCGTCTGAACTGGATCGGTCACGGGAGAATCAGTCAATAGAAATCAATGCAAATCCGCTCGAAATCCGTTCCCCGGACCCCTTCTGGGGTCCAGTTGGTACAGTTGTTCACCCCAAATCCGCTTTGAAGGCAAACGGCCCCTGGAGACTAAAGAAAAAAAACACTAAAAAAAGACTCGAACCGCCCCCCTTTTCCTGCCCGTCGGAGCCAATGCTGGGCCACCTGAGAACCCCCAGCCCGCTCCAAGGTATGAGACTACAGTCAACCAGGATGATAAGGATGCGCGGTAAGGATGCAAGGGCCTTGGAACGCCATGTTGAGGTTTTCCGCGCGGAGCGCGGCCGAACTCCAGAGGATGCAACCTGAGGATGCAAGGGTACCCTGAAGGGCTGGCCAGCGAAAGCTGGCAAGGATGCGCCGACAGGGCAAGGATGCGAGGGTACCCTGGCCAAGTTGCATCCTTACTACAGGGCAGCGTTTAATACATAGGATTATAAACAATAACAGAAACGGATGTTTAAAACATTATTAATGTATGAATAAATGTATGCATGAACTCCTCGTTGTTTTTAGTACTACATCCCTGCATTCTCAATACATGATCCGCACGCGGACCATGCATTAAAAACGGCACTGTACCGTGGTTGACTGTGAAGCACGGCCTGCCGCTGAGGCCGCGCGCGCGCCCCCGCGCGAGGGACCTGTGCTCCGCCGGCGCAGCGAGCGCACGACGCCCCATCGGCGCGCACGGGAGCAGAGGCGGCACTCGGCCCGGGGCGCGTGCACAGAACGCATCGCAAGAGGTGATGCCGGGGAGACGGAGGCAAGGGGAAGTGAGGGCGGGGAGGGCGGGGAGGGAGGGAGAAGAGGGAAGGGGGAGGGAAAAAGGGGGGTCGCGGGAGGGGAGGGCGAAGGGAAGGGCAGGGAGCGGGAACGCGGGGGGCACGAGTCCCGAGTGGACACTACAGCTCCGCCCTGGGTTTTGCCTCTACAGCAGCCTCGAACACGTCCTTGTTCATGGGGTTGGAGGAGCGTGCGCCATCGGGCGGTAGCCCGGTCCCTGCAGGCGGTGAGAGGGGGGTGCACGTCCGTAGTCACATTCCTTCCTGCTTGATGCAAGGGTACGCGACAAGTTCAGGCAGCAAGTTACACACGCCACTGCGCAGGCGGCTGTTGCGAGCTAGAGACTAGAATTGCACGTGAAAATGGTTCACTTGTGCTCACATTTAGATACACACACACACGCATTCAATCGCATATACACGCACACATGTCTGCAAAGCTTCTTGAGATTCTCTGGATCCGCCCGATGACCAGAGGGGGAACTGAACAAGAAAGAGAGGTGCCCCAGTCTGGCTCCGCATAGACACGCCACGAATGCCAAACCACGCTGAATCGAAGACCGCCACCCCCCTCCTGGCCACGCATCTGGGCCAAGCCACGGTGCATCGAAGGCCAGAAAGCTGCTCTGGGTCGCACTTGCAGAGCCTCGACTTCGATGACTTTGGATTCTCAGGAGCATGATTGAAGAATTTCCAGGACTGCGTTAGCCGTCTTTGGCCCGTCTAGGACCCTCTTGGCCGCATGCTGGAGGTGCGGTCTTGGGGATCTTTTGAAACATTTTGGAGCCGTCGTGAGAGCCTCCTAGGCTGGTTTGGGGGCCACTTGGGCTGCCTTGGGGCCCTCTTGGTGCCTCGTCGGGCAATACTGGGGCCGTCTAAGAACTATCCTTGGGCCATCTTGAGGACCTAGTGGACCTCTTGGGCCGTCTTGCGCCCCTCCCAGGGCCACCTTGGAATGCCTCTGGGAGGTCTCCTGAGGCCGACCATAACCGTCTTGGGCCCATCTTGGGTCCTTCCTGAGCCTTGCTGGGGCTCTCCATGGGCGCCCCGAGGAGCGGAAAGGCAAATATTCTCAAATCATGCTTAAAACGTCGGCCATCACTAGCTCATGTCTTCTAGGTGGGGGGCTGTGAAGAGTGTCTGCTTGGGCCGTCCTGGACGGGTTGAAGCTGCCCTTGGGCCCTGTTGGTCCGCTCTGTGACCCCGAGGGACTATTTAGCCGCGGGAAGGAGGCCCAGGAGGGCACTGAAGGGGTACAAATCCCACCAGCCCTTTAGGGCGTAGGTGGTCTAGAGCGTTTCCTCTGCCAACCCCCTTCTTTCCCTTCGGGGAGGGGTTACCCCCCCTTTACAGCTCCCCACCGACCTGCACGAGGAGTTCCGCGGGTCGTTTGGACGTCCAAGATGGCCCAAGACGGGTCCAAGAGCGAAAAAGCGAAAAAGCACAAAACATTGATTTGCCTTAGGTTTGGAATGATTTTGGCTTCAAGAAGGGCCCAAGAGGCGATTCGAGGCACTCTAGAGGGGCAAGGCTGATATACGACCCCCCCTTCTTGGATAGATCTCCTCCAACATGGCCCCAAGAGCGCCCCGAAGGAACCCACGAGCGCCCCAAGAGCGCCCCAAGAGGGGCCCAAGAGGCCCCAAGAGGCCCCCAAGAGGCCTTCAAGAAGCTCCCAAGAGACCCCCAAGAGTCCCCAAGAGCCTCCCAAGATGGCCCAAGACGGCTCCAAGAGCGAAAAAGCGAAAAAGCACAAAGCGTTGGCTTTCCTTAGGTGTTGGAAGGGTTTTGGCTTCAAGAAGGGCCCAAGAGGCGATTCGAGGTACTCTAGAGGGGCAGCGCTAATATACGACCCACCCTTCTTTGATAGATCTCCTCCAAGATGGCCCCAAGAGCGCCTCGAAGGCTCCCAAGAGCGCCCCAAGAGCGCCCCAAGAGGCCCCAAAAGGCCCCCAAGAGGCCTCCAAGAGGCTCCCAAGGGACCCCCAAGAGGCCCCAAGAGGCTCCCAAGATGGCCCAAGACGGCTCCAAGAGCGAAAAAGCGAAAAAGCACAAAACATTGATGTTCTTTAGGTTTTGGAAGGATTTTGGCCTCAAGATGGGCCTGAGAGGCGATTCGAGGTACTCTAGAGGGGCAGCGCTAATATACGACCCACCCTTCTTTGATAGGTCTCATCGAAGATGGCCCCAAGAGCGCCCCGAAGGCTCCCAAGAGCGCCCCGAGAGCGCCCCAAGTGGGCCCCAAGAGGCCCCAAGAGGCCCCCAAGAGGCCCCCAAGAGGCCTCCAAGAGGCCCCCAAAAGATCCCCAAGAGGCCACAAGAGGCTTCCCGTCATACGCAAGAGGCCCCCGGGACCGCCAAGAGGCCCCAAAGACGGCCCAAGAGGCCCCCAAGATCGCCATTGTTCTCCTCCTCCTCCTCCTCTTTTTCTTCCTCCTCCCTCCTCCCCCTCCCCCTCCTCCTCCTCCTCCTCCTCCTCCTCCTCCTCCTCCTCCCCCTCCTGCTCCTGCTCCTCCTCCTGCTCCTCCTCTTCCTCCTCCTACTCCGACGACGACGGCTCCTCCTACATCCTCCCCCTCTTGGGGTATATGGCGGCTCACCCCGCCCGTTTTTCTTCTGCATGCTCCCCCGCTTCCCTCACAACCTCCACTCCCCTGGGACTCATTTCTGGACGGGCTGGTGGGGATACGCTTTCTTGGTCGCAGCCGCAGGCGAGAGCGCAAGCGGCGAGTCGTAAGTCCGGGATACGCGAAGCGTCTAGAATGTCTGATGCCGACAGCGGAGTGGAAATCTTGGGGGGGGAAGTCTGGGGCCCGGGCCCCAGGTGCTCCCGCATGTGATGTGTGTATGTATAACTATAGATATGTATGTATGTATGTATATATATATATATATATGTAAAAACAAAAACAAATAGTATGTTTCGTGTCAAGAGAGATCCCAGTTCGATCCACTCAACAGCAGCCTATCAGCAACCACTCGAACACGCAGCATAACGCAAGAGAAGATGCACATCAAATCAGAAGCGCGCTAGAGCTGAGTGATGCTCGAGGCGCAAAAATGAACTCTCCTTCAGACGTCCACGACCAGATCCTCCAGAAGCGCCTCTCGTGTCCCAGCTCGCTACCACCAGCTTCTGGAGGCTCCGAAGGTCTGTATGGCGCGCGCCCATGCAAGACCCGGTAGTTGTCCACGACCAACGCCTCGCCCCTCGAAAGCGAGAAGCTATGATCTGGTGGGATGTATTTCGCTTCCAGTTGTGTTGTCGTGCTCCTTCGTCGTCCTGCGCATCCCCCTCCGCGTCCTCATTCTCGTTCCGCTGCTGCTTCTCGCCATGATCACTGTCGCCGTCATCGTCGTTGCTCGATCGTCAGCATCGTCACTGTCCTCCCTGACCTCGTCCAATGAAAGGAAGGCTGCCGCCATCATGAGGCACATGCCGAAGATGCCAGGTATTAAAAGCACGAGACAACTGCCAACATGTGATACATCTACGTGTGGGTACACATACAATTGTGAAAATAGACATGCAAAGTTGCATAATCATACACATGGGCATATATATGAACATCTACGTATACATATATGGTCATGCCTATGCAGACACATGTACGTGTACATATATATGTACAACTACAGATACACGTAAGCTTACGTATACATATAGAAATACAGTGCTGCATACATAAACATGTGACTCGACGTGTACTGTACGCGACTAGACATACCTATTCATGTGCATATACATGTACAAATACATATGTGCATACACATTTTCATATGCAACTACAAATACATACACAACTGACTATACGAGTGCGAGTACAGCATAACGTATACATATGCATCTGACTATACATATGCACATGTGCCTATCCCGGTAGATATACAGATACCTATACACATACCGATACATGCACATATACGAGTACATTGATACCTATACTCATACATATACAACAGTTAATATACATAAAAACATACGCACACATATGCATAAGCATATACATCAACCTCCACATACACCTACACATATACATGGACATGTACAAGTGTACAACAATCGACATAAACATTTTCATATGCGTATTATCCGACAGTACGCATATACATATACATTTATAACTACATATGCCTAGTCACATACCTACACCGTTACCTATCTATAGACATGCGCAAATACTTATACATATACCCGTACATATAAACATGTATGCATACGCATACATGTACATGTGCAGATGCATCTACCTGAACATGCACATACACATTTTCATTGACATGCACACATGCATTACCATGTCCATATCCATGTGCATACACACACACATACATACACAGCTAACTACACATATGCAGATAATTATGCATGTTGATATACATATACTTCAACGTATTCATATACATATACATAAATGTATATCGATGCATTGCCGCATCAAGATAGTCTCTCGTCGAGCTCCGTGGCTGCAGTCTGCTTGTCCAAGACTGCCTTGACACGATTTGCCCTTGGTAATTGTAATAACTGGGCGCGGGCTTCGCGCGCACTTGGGTTTTAGACGAGGATACTTGCCCCATCCACATCCTCTGCCTGCTCCCATCAGTGCTACTCTGTTCCTTGTTCCTGTCCCTTCTTACGACGATCAACAACACCATGCAAGCTCCCTGCTCATCATCATCGTCATCGTCGTCAGCATCGTCATCATCGTCATCCTCATCCCTTATTCCACATCCTCATCCGAATCATCATTAGCATCATAAGAATCGTCATCATCCTCATCCTCATCCTCATCCTCATCAGCAATAGTATTATTCATCATCATCAGCATCCACATCATTATCGGCACCATCGCAATCGCAACCATAATCGACATCGTCAGCATCGTCATCATCATCATCATCATCAGCATCATCATCATCATCGCCATCCTCATCGTCAGCGTCATCCGTATCGGTGTCGGTATCGGCATCGCCACCACCACCACCGTCTTCAGCATCGTCATTATCCCCATCAGGGTAAACAGCATCATCATCATCGTCAGCATGGTCGTCACCATCATCATGATCATCATGATAGTCGTCACCGTCAACATGATCATCATCACCATCACCACCACCATCATCACCATCATCATCACCAGTAGCAACATTGTAGTCATCATCATTATCAGCATCATCATCACCATCATCATCATCATCATCCGCATCATCATCCTCATCAACATCATCATCAACATCAGCATCATTATCATCAGAATGTTCCCAAGGTGCTCTCTCTCTTTCTCTCTCTCTCTCTCTCTCAGGAGACCCTCGGTGGTCTCCAGGAATCCCCCCTGCGACCTCCACAGGTCTAGCGGGCCAGCGTGCACCGTTCGACGGCCACGTGGCCGCACCTGGAAGACCTGACGATGCGGTGGACGCCAACGTTGATAGGGGGCCACATGCGAACACTACCCCCACCCCCCACGATTTCTGAGGAGGGTGGGGTTAACTTCGTTCGGCAGCCTCCGAACCAAGTGAACCCCACCCTCCCCCTCAGAGATCGTGGGGGGTAGGGGTAGGGTTCGCATGTGGCCCCCTAGTTGATCCCTCTTGGGAAGCCACTTTGGCTTCCTCCGATTTCCGCCGAACTTCCGCTGGCCACACCGTGCTCGATTTGTTTCCGCCAACTGCCGCGGGTCCTCGGCCAGCGTCCGCCGAGGGCGACACCGTGTCCTCTAACATGCGACATCCTCTTTGGAACAACCCATGGGGTTCATGCCTGAACAAAGGGCTCTAGGGTTTTCGTTGAGCAACCGAAACGCGTAGCACCGTACTGGTTAGCGTTCAGAGCGGTGCAATGAGGCGGGGGGAAGGGATGAGTGGAGAGGAGCCGTGTCAGAAGGGGTTGAGGCTCACACATTTTTATCCGGAGTTCTACGGGGCTCCGGTTCAAGGGGATTGCAGAGGGTCGATGGATTGGCCGGGAGGGGAAACAAACAAGGGAAGAACCCCTCCTCCGCCTCAGTTTCCGCTCCATCCTCCTCCTGGCTCCCCCGCTCCTCCTGGTCATCCTAATTTCCACGCTCTGCCCTGCTTTCCACCACCCAGCCTTTCCACAGGGGATGGCGAGGCGCCTGGTGCAAGCCTAGGACCTGCTGCTGCCTCCGGGAGGCGGTGGGGAAGGAGGTGCAAGCCAAGCAGAGCTGCAGCTCCCTGCGCTAATTGTGGTGCGTCCAGTGAAAAGAGGAACAAACTGTACAAGACGGAAAAGATACGCCACCCAGAACCAAGCGGAAGCCAGCGACAAACGAACTAAGGCGAGCTGCATCGTGTTCCGAAACAGCAAACATTGGAACCCGAGCAACAAAGCCTTTGCCACCATGAACACGTAGATGGTGCGCCACTACCCAATCATGAACAAAAAGTGACATAGACATAAAAACTTGGAGGTCAACACAGATTTCTCGGATCCGCGCTGGACCCCCCTCCCTGGCGCGCGGAGCGCGCCAGGGGCGGCGCTGGAGGCGCCGCCAGGGGGGGTCCAGCGCCGTTCCGAGAAATCCGCGCGGACCTCCGAGTTTTTATGTTGATGTCATTCTTCGCTTCCCTAATGTTGCATCCGAGCACACTCCCAACCTCGATGCTGCGAGCTTGAATGTTCACGACTCCGCACGCGGAGAACGGCAACCGCCGATCCGACCGCCAGCACACGCGCTGCCTCACCGCAGCGGGGGAAAGAGAACTTGACCACTTGACGAACGTGAGAAAAACGCATCGAACACCATGATTCGGCGGTGGACAAACCTCCCTTTAGTAAACCTCCCCTTAGTGCAAACGGCCTGGGACTGAAACCGACGGACCTGGACCCGCAAAAATGACGACCAATTCCTCAATCGACGTGTGAGGGTAGGAGGTCTGTCCACCCCCGAATGACCAGGCTGGAAGACAGTGGTGAGGAGTGTGAGCCCTGCGGCCAATGAATAAGCCATGCCCCCACCAATACCGAAACTGCGCATCGCCGCTCCCAGGGGCCGCGCGACACACTAAGAAAGGGGTGTGCTAACAGCACTGCCAAACATGGGATACCAGCGTGATCAGCCCGCTGACGCCGAAAGTTATTGCCGACATGCGCTTCAGACCCTTAGAGTATCCCTCGAGGGCAAACAAACAGCCATATACCAGCAGACGACGATGGACAACGACAATAAAACAACACCTGTCCATGTGGTACAGGCACAGGTTGATGCGAAGCAGCCTTGCCTTCCGATGGCGTTCACGCGATGGTAACACCCATCCCGCCATCGGGGCGTTCAAGCAAGCACACAATTCGGAAGTTCAGCCCCAGAGCATGCGTACAACGGAGCGGGTGGCACCAGGTTTAAGCCAGTGGTGGCTGCCACTGTTGAGCACATGGAGCTTGGGCCAACATGGCTACGGCCCCTCCTAGTCCTCCTCCTCCTCCTCCTCCTCCTCCTCCTCCTCCTCCTCCTCCTCCTCGTCCTCCTCCTCCTGGAAGGCGGGAGAAGGGTCTCCTCCTGGTCTCCCTCACTCCTGGAGGGCGGGAGAAGGGGGGGGTCCCCTGGCCAGCTCTGGGGGCAAGCGGGGTGGCCTGCGAAGGCCTCGGCGCTCGCACGCTGCAGCAGGGCGTCGAACGCCCGCAGCTGCGGCTCCTCCTCGACGGCGACGACGACGACGACGACGAGGACGACGAGGACGAGGACGAGGAGAGGGTTCCGACCTGCCCCACCCGCCGACTTTGCGGAGGGGGGCGGGGGTGACGGTGACGGTGAAAGTGCCCGCAAGAGTGCCCACGCGAGGGGACTAAGCGGGGAGCGGCCGGAGCGACCAGAAAAGCTAGCAATCTGAAGCGGCAGGCCAGGGAGTCGCGGCTAGCAGGCTTACTCATGATGGACAATACTATGCTCCAGCTCATTCCACTTGGGGAGGGCGGGGGAACATGCGAAACCGAACCCCATCCCTCCGATGTTCGCGGGGGGCGGGCGGGGGTGGGGGGGCGGGGGTAGGGGGGAGGTTTAGGGGGGGAGGTTCTCGCTGGACAGGGAGGTGGGGGTCCCTCGAGAGAGGAAGGAGAATATTTGTTCGAGGGGGGGTGGCGGTTCCGGAGCGGAGGAGGTTGAGATTGTGCACAGGTAAATCGCACACAAACTCGCCCAGATGTCTGGAAATGTAGCCAGTCCTCGAAGAAGAGCCAGCTCAAACATAAACTTTCAGCAGACCCCGCAAATTCCTTGGATCGTCGCTGGTTTCCCTGGTGGGGCCTCCAGAGCCGCCATTCGCGGGCTCCGCGCGACAGAAGGGTGTCCAATGACGACCCAGGAAACATGCGCAAACCTCCGAAAATGATGTTATGCCGCTGTTCATTGAACGACTATCTGAAAAATAAACTTGTCGACAATGCTATCCCCTTTCTTCCTCATGTCTTGCACGGGAGCAGAGGTCGGGTAGTCGCTGGCCCCCCTCATTCTCGTCATCCTGGGCAAACCAGTCCAGTGTGCGAGCGGGACAAGTCGTCGTCGTGATCCTCTTCCTCCTCCTCCTCCTCCTCCTGGTCCTCCTCCTCCTCCTCCTCATCCTCCTCCTCATCCCATGTAAAAAACACACTTCCTGTGGGGCCGCGAAACGTGTGAGGGGTGTGCCAAGTTGCAAGAGGAGCGGCATGCGAACAACATCGCGCGTTCTAGAAAATTACAACGCCAGGATCTCCAGGGATGCCGATCGCCCCATTCGAGTTTTCGCTGGCCTCCTGGCTTCAGCACCAACCTGCGGTTCTTAGACCCTCTTGAGCCACACGCCTCAGGCGCATCAAGCGCACCCACCCACCGGACGTGGGCATCGACGACGTCCACAAGATGGGCAGTCTGGCCCATCGTCTTCCACATCACCATCACCACCAGCATCACCACCACCACCCACATAGATCACCATCACCGTCATCATCCCCACCATTACCACCACCTAAAACCACCGCGACAACCACCCCCACCACCTCCACCACTGTTACCATGAACGGCATTGTTATTATCATCACCATCATACCCAACATCAACCCCAACATTAAAAGATCATCAACATCATCATCACCATCGTCACCAGCATGATCATCATCACCATCAACATCCTCATCCTCACCATCAGCATCGCCATCGTCACCAGCACCATCATCAATACCGTCCCCTGTGTCACCATCCTCATCGTCTCAGCACAGCGATCATCACAACCACCAACATCATAACCAGCATCAACACGGGAATGATCTGAAAAGGTCAGCACGTTCGCCAACAGCTACGCTCTCGCCCAGGGGATTGCCAAGCTGGTGGGACGGCTCGCTGATCATGCGACCAAAAGTGTTGTTCCCCTGGGATATGACCTTGCGCCCAGCCAGAGACGCGATACCCAGGAGGGGCAGCGGAAGAGAGAGCAGCGTCTTCGCCACTGTTTCCCGCGCCAAAAAAGACGCACCGGCAAGATTTACGCCGCTGGAGTTTTGCCGGCTGCTTGTTTCGGGTCCGCGGTCGTGGGGGTGAATGATCACGAGCTTCTTGAGGCGCAGGGCTATGCTGCCTTGCCATATCGCACAGGCACGGAGGCGGCTCGACACAAGCTCGTCTCGCCATCCACGGGGGCCCCACGTAGAGACCTGCCGCGGCCCCCGCCCTGCACCGGGCCCCCATCGCGCCCCCGCCCCCCCCGCAGCATTCTCAGCGCAGCGTCCACCAGCCGCGCCAGATGCGGAGAGCCGTCTCATGCGACCACACCGCTCCTCGGCGCCATTCGAAAGGGCCCCACGCAGCGGTTGCATCTCTCATTGCGCCGCGTGGGTTGGACATGCACCCATCCCCTCAATTTCCTGGATGATTACGGCGGTGAAATTCACCCTGCCTCCCCCCCACACCGCGCCACCACCACCGCCCGCGGTTGGACATGTGATCCAGCTAGCCACTCAGCGTCAACACAAGCGTAACCTCCGTGAAAATGTCCCCGAGGCATCGAGGCTCAGGCCGTGCCTGGACCCGCGCAGGCGCCTCTCGGGGCCCAAAGGTAAAGGCCCCACGGCCAGGAGGAGGAGGAGGAGGAGGAGGAGGAGGAGGAGGAGGAGGAGGAGGAGGGGGAGGAGGAGGGGGAGGAGGAGGAGGAGGAGGAGGAGGAGGAGGAGGAGGAGGAGGAGGAGGAGGAGGAGGAGGAGGAGGAGGAGGAGGGGCCCTCCCTCGGTTACCTGCAAAAGTGTTTGGACTTAGGGCTAAGGCTGATGACTACGACGCCGACGGACTCTGCCTTCTGCGCGGGCCACCAGACGGCGCACGACGCCAAGGTCGGCAGCGCTTGCACCCCCTGGCCGTTGAGGCCCGCCAGAGCGTCACGGACCATGCCCCTCCCGAGTGGCTCGCGGGGGCGCTCGACAATGATAATCGTGTTTTTTTTGGCGAGCTCAAACGGGGGCATCCTGAGGCGCGGTGACCTCCTTCCGCCTCCTTCCCTAAACCGATTCTGCATAACTCCAATGGGGCTAAGGTTGAGTGGGGGTCTCTTGACCTTGCGGGGTGCGATGGCGCCATGGGCGGATCCGCCCATCGGCATCCCGTGCGCGAGCCTTCCAGGGCCGCCAACTCTCTGGGTTTTTTTCTTGAGGATAGCCCCAAAGGTTGTGCGACAGGCGCGGTCCTCGACGTCTTCCCCCCGACTTCCCAGGCCGCCGAGCATTTGTGCACGGCCCTGCTTCCCATGTGCCAGGATCGAAGAGGCGGGCGTCGTTCGGACTGCATGAACGCGATTCGACTGCGCAACGACCTCGCATTTAGCAGGTCTCTCGCAAACATCGGCGAGCTGGACTAGGTCGCGGAGCGCTGCTGCGCGAGCGCGAACGGACACCTGATGCGCACCGCGCCAACGCTCACCGCGATCGAGCGAAGTTGGACTCTCTCCCGCTCCACGATCGTCGCAGCGGCGCGGGCCCGGAGACCCTCAACCCTCCCTGCACGAGTAGGGAAGTGGACGGGTCTTGTAAAAAGCGTGGTTGTGCTGCCAAAACGTCAGGCACAACCCTCGCTGTTTCCGCGTTTCCAATCGAGATATTTGGTCGCCCGCCCAAACGTTCGAGGGCCAGGTTCGCGAGGCCAGGTGAATGGCACGCTTGGGGCGATATCGGCCAAGGACGTGCACGGTGCCTCCGGTGTTCCCTGTATCCCTCGGAGTATTCCTCGGAACCCCTGGGCCGACCCATGTTGGGACGTGAAGGTATCGGCGAGATGCTGCGCGGCGTCCTCGATCCGACCCAGGGGCACGAGTTGGCCCGCAGTGTTGTCCAGAAGAGAGATACGTGTTTAACGATATGGTTCTGCGTTGCGCGCGGCGCGCACATTTCGCAACGGTGCCACCGTCTGGGCACGGAGCGCTCGCAGCGCAAATTGTTCGGCGATCCTAATACTCTTCGTCGAAGTACTTTCGACCTGTACCATCGCTACCGCGATCAGTCCACGGCATGTGCATGTGCTCGTCGCGGCGTGTCTTCTCTGCGCAATGCCGCTTCATTGCCGCCGCCGCAGAATGCCAGTTTGGCGCGGCCGCCTTTTGCTCACGCGTTATCGATACTCCTGGGATGCTGGCCCTGCAGGCGCGCACCCAGGCCCGCGAAGCGGCGCGCATCGCCGCCTCGCGCTCTTCCACCTGAGCTCGCGTTTGAAAGAGTGTATGTTGCCCGCACCATGGGGTCGCTGATGAAACCAACAACTCCTCCTCCTCCTCATCCTCCTCCTCCTCCTCGTCCTGCTCCTCCGCCACCATTTCCTCCTCCTCCTCCTCCTCGTCCCCCTCCTCTTCCTCCTCCTATTTCTTCTCCTCCTCCTCATCCTCCTCCTCTTCCTCTTCCTCTTCCTCCTCCTCCTCCTCCTCCTCCTCCGCTTCCTCTTCCTGAAACTCCAATTCCTCCTCCTCCTCCTCCTCCTCCTCCTCCTACCCTCCTCCTACCCCTCCTCCTCCTCCTCCTCCCCTCCTCCTCCTCCTCCTCCTCTCTCCTCCTCCTCCTCCTCTTCTCTTCCTCCTCTCCTCTTCCTCATCATCCCCTTTCCCCCCTCCTCCTCCCCCCTCCCCCTCCTCCTCCTCCCCCCTCCGCCTCCTCCTCCTCATCATCCTCCTCCTGCTCCTCCTCCTCCTCATCCTCCTCTTCCTCCGTCTAGTAGTCGTACAAATCAGATCAGCTGTAGCAAATGAAGTAGTAGTAGCAGTCGTAGTCGTAGTAGTAGTAGTAGTAGTAGTAGTAGTAGTAGTAGTAGTCGTCGTCGTCGTCGTCGTCGTCGTCGTCGTCGTCGTCGTCGTCGTCGTCGTCGTCGTCGTCGTCGTCGTCGTCGTCGTCGTCGTCGTCGTCGTCGTCGTCGTCGTCGTCGTCGTCGTCGTCGTCGTCGTCGTCGTCGTCGTCGTCGTCGTCGTCGTCGTCGTCGTCGTCGTCGTCGTCGTCGTCGTCGTCGTCGTCGTCGTCGCGTCGTCGTCGTCGTCGTCGTCGTCGTCGCGTCGTCGTCGTCGTCGTCGTCGTCGTCGTCGTCGTCGTCGTCGTCGTCGTCGTCGTAGTAGTAGTAGTAGTAATTTCAGTAGTATAAGGAGTAGTAGTAGTAGTAGTAGTAGTAGTAGTAGTAGTAGTAGTAGTAGTAGTAGTAGTAGTAGTAGTAGTAGTAGTAGTAGTAGTAGTAGTAGTAGTAGTAGTAGTAGTAGTAGTAGTAGTAGTAATAGTAGTAGTAGTAGTAGTAGTAGTAGTAGTAGTAGTAGCAGTAGTAGTAGTAGTCGAAGTAATAGTAGTAGTGGAAGTAGTAGTCGTAGGAGAAGTAGAGGTAGAAGCACTAGTAGTAGTAGTATTAGTAGTAATAGTAGCAGTAATAGTAGTAGTAGTAGTAGTAGTAGTAGTAGTAGTAGTAGTAGTAGTAGTAATAGCAGAAGCAGTAGCAGCAGTAGTAGTAGTAGTCGTAGTAGCAGTGGTGGTGGTGGTATTATCATTAATAGTATTATTATTATTATTAGTAGTAGTAGTAGTAGTAGTGGTAGTAGTAGTAGTAGTCGCAGCTCGCAGTCTCAATAGAACTAGGAGTAGCACTAGTAGAATTAGTAGCCGTAGTCGTAGTAGTAGTAGTAGTAGTAGTAATAGTAGTAGTAGTAGTAGTACTAGCAGTTGTGGTAGTAGTAGTCGTAGTAGTACGAGTAGTAAGAGTAGCAAGTGCAGTAATAATAAAAGTAGCAGTCGTTGTTGCAACCGTAGGAAAAGTAGTAGTAGTAGTCGTCGCCGTAGTAGTAGTAGCAGCAGCACTAGGAGTAGAAGTCATAGTAGTAATGGTGGTAGTCGTACTAGCAAAAGTACGAGTGCTAGCATGAGTAGTAGTAGTGGTAGTGCTGGTAGAAGTAATCGTGGTTTTTTACAGTAGTAGTAGTAGTAGCAGTAGTAGTAGTAGTAGTAGTAGTAGTGGTAGTAGTAGACAGAATAGTCTTAGTAGTCGCATTGGTAAAAGAAGTAGCAGCAGTAGTAGTAAAAAGTAACCGTGGTAGTAGCAGTAGTAGTAGTATTACTACGACGACGACGACGACGACGACTACTACTGCTACTACTGCTACTACTTCTGCTACTCCCACTAGGTCGCCGTAGTCGTAAACGTAGTCGTAATCGTTGTAGCAGCAGTAGCAGCAATAGTAGTAGTCGTCGTCGTCGCCGTAGTCGTACTCTTAGCAGTAGCAATAGAAGTAGTAGTAGTCGTCGCCGTAGCCATAGTAATAGTAGCAATAGTCGTCGTAGTAGTAGTAGTAGTAGTAGTAGTAGTAGTAGTAGTAGTAGTAGTAGTAGTAGTAGTAGTAGTAGTAGTAGTAGTAGTAGTAGTAGTAGTAATAGTAGTAGTAGTAGTAATATTTCTAGTCGTAGTAGCCGTTGTCGTAGTAGTAGTAGTAGTAGTAGTAGTAGTAGTAGTAGTAGTAGTAGTAGCAGTACTAGTACTAGTGTGAATACTACTAGTACTAGTAGTAGTAGTAGTAGTAGTAGTAGTAGTAGTAGTAGTAGTAGTAGTAGTAGTAGTAGTAGTAGTAGAGTAGTAGTAGTAGTAGTAGTAGTAGTAGTAGTAGTAGTAGTAGTAGTAGTAGTAGTAGTAGTAGTAGTAGTAGTAGTAGTAATAGTAGTAGTAGTAGTAGTAGTAGTAGTAGTAGTAGAAGTAGAAGTAGAAGTAGAAATGATGATACTAATCGGTAGTAGCGGTAGTGGGCACCACAGTGTCCTGTCAAAGGCATCGGAAGGTACAGAACAGCCCGATACAACTTTCCCCCTCCTCCTCCTCTTCCTCCCCCTCCTTCTCCTCCTCGTCCTCCTCCTTCTCCTCCTCGTCCTCCTCCTCCGTCCACCCTCTTCCTCTGGGGGCTGGGGCCGCCGTCCGTGTCCACTCCCCCCCGAGACTCCTCCGCCCCAGCCGCGCGCGCGCCCGGCAGCGGGCGCCATAGCCTCGGAGCACCCGGCAGCAGCCAGGAGGGCTAAGAGATTCTAGGAAAGTCATGGTCTGGGCCTTTCCAGGGCCGGACCGAAACAGTGTTTTTCGTTTTCGTTTAGTTTTCGTCCTTCCTCGTTTTGTCTTGAATTCGCCATTGCTGCAAAACGACATCGAAACGAAAACGGCCCACGAAATCGCCAAAACACCGTTTGGGTCCACCCCTGGGCCTTTCCTGCGAGCCTTACATCAGCTACACGCAAGAGTGACGCTGCGAAAGAGTGACCTTTGGTGCGTGGCCTTCTGGGGGCCGCGGGGGGGAACCAAGCACGAGCGCGCAAGGCGCGACAGCCGTCTTGCGCTCGGCGCTCGGGAGAACCCCCAGTGGGTCTGCACCAAAGGTCACTCCGGCGAAAGGTCAACTCTTACGCGCAGCCGATCGCAAGCCGCCGAACACACCCAGTGCTCCTGGGCTTCACGAGCGGAGAACGTATCCGCATCCGCGCCCTCGCGGTCTGAATCCTGGGGCGCGATCCCGCGGATGTGCGGTCGCATGGACACGCTCTGCGCAGGGCTTCCGCGAAAGAGCGGCCCGCATTCGCAGGGTCGCGGCCCAGGGGCCCGGCCCGCGAGGCCGCGGATGCGGAGTCGTCGTTCGCTCACGAGGTGGTGTCCTGGGAGGCGGCGGCAGCTCTCTGGATCCTGTCGTGTCGCGTCTTTTGATGGGCCTGTTTTCCACCACCACCACCACCACCATACGTTGGAGGGGGGAAGGAGGGAAAGGAATAGAAGGAGGAGGGAGGACGAAGAGGAGGAGGAGGAGGTGGAGGAGGAGGAGGAGGACCACCTTTCCCTCCAACTTATGGTGACGGTGGTGGAAAACAGGCCCATCATCTTTGGACAAAGCGCAGCAACTCCTGACCTCCAACGGAGTGCGAGTTAGCGGTGCGCCCGGGAGGGAAGGGCAGAGGGGGCGGGCCTTCCTGGAATGATGGACCCGTGTTCCACCACCACCACCAAGATTTGGAGGGGAAAGGAGGAGGACGAGGAGGAGGAGGACGAAGAGGAGGAGGAGCAGGAGGAGGACCACCTCCCCTCCAACTTATGGTGGTGGTCGTGGAAAACAAGCCCATCATGGAAGTCTCAGAATGCCTCTGGCCTGTTGAATAACTCTGGAAGCCATCACCGGAACCATGGAGGGCGTCTCGGAAGGCCGCAGGCCGTCTGAGAAGGCCTGCCCCCTCCCACGTCCCACCTCGTCGGGCAGCCGAGCCAGCATTTCCGAAAGTCTCCCCTGAGCAGTCCATGGGCCCAATCCGAGCACGGATCGCATGCCTGTCTGAAGCTAGGGAGGGCAGCGAAGGACGTGCATCTCGGTCCATGCGCGATCGAAGAGACGATCGCAGGATCGAAGCGAAACTGCCAGACCGAATCTTGGAAACCGCGATCGCGCTGTCGCATCTGGTCCAGGTCAGGGCCCACCAAGGCGTCAGCGAGAGGTAGCTGGAGTTGGCGAGCTCGGCGCAGCGTCGGGCTGCCACCTCCTGGGCGCTGTGCTTTGCTGGGCGGGCGGGAAAAGCAACGAGGCACCGAGAGAAGTCTCCACCGGCCGGCGCAAGACGCGCATTCGGTCCGCAGAGGGCGAAGACATGCGATTCACCCCCGAGCGCAGCTTAGCCGCGGCCCTCCCATTATGACTACCCGTCGGTCGGAAGAGGTGAATAAAAACACGAATTGGCAAGGCACTGAAGATAATGGATTGCGAAGGCCTTACGGCCGGTGCCGCCGCCCCTGAAGGTGGAAGGCGACGACGACGGCGGCGGTGACGGCGACGATGACGACGACGACGCTGACGTGGGCCCGAGTCCTCACGGATGCGTCCTGGGGTCTCGTGGGAAGGCTCTCGGGGGCCTCTAGGGGAATATGTTGGGGTCTCCTGGGGACGTTTTGGGGGCCTCTTAGGAGCCTTGTCGGGTGTCCTGGGGGTCTCGTGGGCTTCTTGGGGCCTCTTGCGAACCTCTTGGGACCTCCTGGGGGCCGAGGGCTCGAAATGTCCGTTCGTCTTCCCCGTCAAGGTAAGTTCTTGGAGCCGACTTGGGGACCTCTTGGGCTGTCTTGGAGGCGTTTTGGGCTGTCCTGGGTTTTTCTTCGGACGTTTTGGAACGCTCTTGGAAGCCTTTTTGGGTTGTCTCGTGGCGATATTGAGGGCCTCTTCGGCCGTACTGGAGCGGCGCGACGTGGAAAAGGCGAAAACGCCAAAATTCTTCAAAAACTACAGAAATCAATGGTGTTTGCCTCTTGGTGCCCTCTCAGGCGTGCCTTTGGGGACCTCTTGGGGCGTCTTGGAAGTCTCCTGGGCATTCTCGGAGCGTGACGGCGTTTTGGACCGATCGTTTGGCGATTGGGGGCCCTCTTGGACCGTCACGGGAACCTTTAAGGGCATTCGTTGGTTTGTTTCGCGACTTGTTGCAACCCCCGGACCTCCAATGGGGAGATGGGTATCTGACCCCCGCACTCTACCGTACCCCCCAAGACCCTTCGATTCGATTACGACTTGGCGGGTGTGGTCATTCGCTGACAGGCTTGGGGGGGCCTAGGAAATGGGACGACGCAAACGTCGACTGTCGGAGACGACGACTCAAACAGACATAAGACGAGAAAAATATATGGACGCAGCGTGTTATTGATACGTTCCGGAGATTCCGGGATTTCTAACAAAATTCGCGCGGGGTGCACTTTGCGTCGAGTATTGTCTACTCTGGCTGGCGCCGCTCGTCGGTCACCCATTCAAAATCGAGCGGTCGCCCGTAAGGGGCTATTTGGCACTTGCTGACCCCCCTTCTCGTTGCCGGGCGCGGGGGGGGGGGGGGGCGGTGGCGCGCCGCCCCATCGCCCGCCGCAATGCACCGCGCGCCGCGGCGGATTTCGCCCGCCGCAATGCACCGCGCGCCTCGGCGGATTTCAAAGACCCGGCAAGGCAAATCACGCGCGATTCTGGAAATTCTCCGGGGGTAAAAAATCGATCAAATCCGGAAGCGTGTTTGACCGTGCCCGGCCTACTTCTTGAAAAATACCAGAACTTTTTCTTTGATAATTTCCGGGATCGGTTTTGAAAAATTCCGGAATCCATTTTGAAAAATTCCGAATTTCAGGATTCTTCAGATGTCCTGCGCGGCGGGCGCATTCCACCAATCAAAACGGTTTTGTTTGAAAATTTGCGGGCTCCTGTTTAAAAATTCCGGAACCGCTTGCGGAAAAAAAGCAGAGGCGTTTTCTGACACATTCTACAATCCAGAAATAATGTCCGGGCGGTCCGACGGGCGCGGCCGGCTGATTCACGCGCCGCGCCGCGCGCGATTGGGCACAGCGCGCGCCGCGCGTTGCGCCAGCGAACAACACTCGAAGGGGCCACCTCGAAAACAACGCCACGGCAGCTGCGACTCGCGATCTCCCCACGAGCAACACAGCATGCAGCTTGGAATCTTCGACGGCGCTCCGATGCGCGAAAAATGCACCACGAACATCACGCAAAGAACCTGCGCGACGGAATGCGCTCGACCATTCGTCCCTGGAGCCCGCGCGGGAGAACAGGAAAACCTGAAAATCTGAAAAAAAACCAATATCAATACTTCATGCTCCTCTGAAGACAAACTCATGGCGCACGCCGACACGGTCGGCGGACTCGGCCACGCGCAGAAGATAAAAGGATTTCCGCCCGCCACCAGAAGCGGGATCAACAATGGAGTTCCCTCCAAAGATAGCATCGTTCCGCCCACATGCGGGACGCGACGGGCACCGCAGGACCCCAACCTGCCGGGATAATGAATTCTCTCGCGCCGCCGGAAACAAACCTTCCGATGGAAGGGCCCGAGCCACGTCACACTCCTTGGGGGGCAATAGGAACCAAAGCAAAGAGGCGGAGGCGGAGAAGGAGGAGAGGTGGAGGGGGGCGTGGAACTGCACAAACATAAACGTATGGGGCACAGCGAGACACGAAGTTCAAGTGGGGGGACAGCGCTAACAGAGAGCACGTCCCCTTTCCTTTTTACGAGGGCTCGCGCGCGCTCGCAGCCAGCGCGCCAAGTAACTCAAGGTCCCTGCGAGCCAGAGCAGGGGCAGGGCAAGGGAGGTGAGACCGAGGCGCAGGAGGAGGACAGGCTGAATTATGTATAACAACCACAACTCTCACCTTTCCTCTTCAGCCGAAACGCCGACGAAGCCTCAGCTCACCTTGGTCGTCTGATAGTTGTCGTAGCCGCTGTAGACGCAACCACCCATGATACCATTGGCTCAACAATCCTACCGAAGTTATCCCTGACACGCGAGAGCTTCAGCCATACGAGCACAGAGACCGCGGGAGTGTCTCTGGAGAGGTCTCACAAGGGATCAGCACCCACCTCACCGAAGTCAGATCCTGACACGCCCGCAGCTTGCCCCATCTCGGCCATGAAATTCCTCGGCTCAGCATTTTTTCGGCCGATAGGGAGTGCCAGTCCGCTCCGTGAAACGGGCTGCTTCATTGAGCTCGATGGTCCACTGCGGAACCCATCGCTCTCTCTCTCTCTCTCTGTCTCTGGGGAACAAGCGCAAGACGAAGAGATACAAGCTCTCCTTGATCGGGTCATCCGAGTAGGCGTGTGCTCTCGGAACCGCAATTTGAAAAACCCTCGTCGCGATGTACATCCTGACCGTGCGATTCCAGAGCTCGTCCCGTCCAAGGGCAAGCTCCTTGTCTTGACCACCGCAGATCTCTCTCACCGTGGTGCTGTCCGTGACCGCGCGCCCTAGGTCGCACGTCGCTTGCGGCCCAACTGCAGCTCGAAGATACACGAGCACAGGTTCGGTTCGTTCATCTCGGGACCTACATCAGACGACATGTGGAGTACGCAGCGGGCACAGCTGCTGCGGCGCTGTTCCCCTTTCACAAGAAACACCGAAAGCATTGTCCGCGCTAGAAAATCCTGGCTTTAGCTTGCACGCCCCGCGTTCACTCCAGATCGAAGCAATGGCTGCCGGTCTGGAGTTCGGGACCCCCGCTACCGGCGAGAACGAGGCCGCGCATCATATCCCTGACACTCGTCACTGTTACATCGATGAGCCATCATTGCCCTGCCGGGCATGCGATCGGGCCACAGTCATAGGGCCCGTCGATCCTAGACGAAAGACGTCGTCGCCGTAGTCGTGCTCCACACTACATGTAACCACCATTCTGGTCCCGACGCATTTGCGCCGCCTGAAGAAAATCAGAGACTCGCGCGCGCTCTCGGCCTGGCCATGATCCAACGGGCAAGCTGCAAGCATGCGCCGAATGAGCCTGCCCACGTGGAGCTGCGAGGTGAAATGCGCAGCGCGGGCCGCAACGCACCCCTTCTCGCAGAGGCGCCCCATGCCCAGACCCAATATGTTTGCCAGGGCCGCCGAGCTTTCTGGGGCCACGGGCTGGCCGCCATCATGCCGCTTCCCAACCGTGACGCGAATCACCTCGACGACCTCGCCGGGCGAAGCCGACCGGTGGCTGGGCGCCAAGTCGCAGCGGCCGGGGCCCAGGACGCACGGGCCGGCCTCCAGGATTCGGCGGCTCCGCTGCCGCTCGGCCGTCGGCCTCCGCGGCGCGCGGCACCAGCGCGTCGCCAGGGCCCTCGCCGCCCCAGTGCTCGTCGGCACCGGGGTCCGCGCCATCTGGCGCATCATCCCAAGCAGCAGCAGCACCTGGCGCGGCGATGCCCGGCGAACCCCATTCCTCCTCGCTCTGCCACCGATCGGAATCAGAACTCACGCAAGGAACCAAAACGCGTTTGCGAAAAAGGGTGACGCAGCGAATGCATCAAGCGAAGGCCAATGCTTATTCTGTTGCACGGCACCTCTCACGCATGTCGCCACCCATAGAGGGATATGTGTAAGGCGCCGGTCTGGGGGACTTGCGAGTGCTGCTTTGGGCCCGAGCTAAGGGGGGACGTTGGCGCAATGCGCTCCGACATTCATGGCAAACGTGGCTCTTAGAAGTTAACTGCAAGATCCTTTCGAGGTCCTGACGGTAGCGTCGGATCTGACATTCCCCCGAACGAGCTGAAAGTCCGCCACCACCCAGAAGGGTGAACAAGGCGATGAACACGAGTCCAGGCTGCCCGCGGAGGCGAACCCTCTATGCACGCAGCATCGCGCGCACCACGCGCACCAGAGCACGTCTGTTTATGAATTGGCTGGATGGCCCGACAAGCGAATCATATTTTAATGGATTTTGCAGGCGGACAAACTGCGATCAAGTTTTTGCGAAGGCCTACTGACACCCACCAGGCCCCCATCACAGCGAGGCCGCACCCGACGCACGGGCCATCAGACCCCTATCTCAAGAGGGACGCCGCCCAGGGCATCAAAAGCCATCAAACGTCCCAAGACCACACAGACAGGCAGGGAAGCCTCAATCCTACAGGCAGATGTTGAACGAAAATGAAAAATAGTCAAAACAATCAAACACATGCTCAAAAAATACTCAAGAAATCGTCCCCATGCTATTTCTTATTATTCTTGAAGATTCCTCCGGTAGAGGGGCACGCCCGACGTAAGGCCAGTGACACGGGTAGGCAAGGAGTGGGGGGGCCAGGCCACGAATAAACGAACGAGCGAACGACGAAAACCAGAGGGTCGCCGAGGTCTGCGTCACGCGATAATCCGCCGACCCTGTCGGCGTGTGGAAGAGGCTGCCCCGTTTGACTCGTCGTCGTCGTCATAGTCGTCGTCGCCGTCGTCGTCGTCGTCGTGGTCGTCGTCGTGGTCGTTGTCGTCGTCGTTGTCGTCGTCGTCGCCATATCGCCTTCGCCGCTCCCCTCTCCTTTCCCTAGGCCCGTCGCCGCTACCCCCACTTTCACCGGGCCTCCACCTCGAGCGGGGTCGGGGGGGGTCGCCACCCAGATACGACTCCCCCACGGGGGGGGTCGCCACCCAAACACGACTTCCCCCTGGGCGGTTCGGGGCCCAGAAAAGCCCGAAGACGCGGTAAAAATGCCCCAAGATGCCACCAAGACGGTCCTCGAGGGTCCCGAATCGCGAAGTATCCGTCCCAGTCGCCAACGTAGGCTCCAGACGGCTCAAACGGTTTCCAAAACGCCCCAAGAGGCTTCCAAGAGGACTCCCACGAGGGCACCGAGGGGCAAAATTCACTCATGTCCCTCGGTTTTTTGTGAGCTGATTTCGGCATTCTCGCCTCGCCAGCTCCCCGGCGCTCCAAGACAGGCCAAGAGTCCCCCGGACAGCCCCGAGATGGCCCAAGAGGCCTCCAAGAGGGCCCCAAAACGACACAAGAGGGCCCCAAGACCGCCCAAGAGGCCTCCAAGACAGCAGAAGAGGCTCCCGAGACGGCTCCAGGCGGGAGACCCGGCGGGGGCCCCGAACGGTCACTTCGAACCCTCGGCCTGAGCAGCTCCCAGGAGGCCCCCAGGAGGCCCCTGAGAAGCCCCCCCAGGAGTGCCCCGAGAGGCTCCCCAAGAGGCCCCCAGGAGGCCCTATAAGGCCCCCCCACGAGGCTCCCAAGCGGCCCCCAAGAGCCCCCCAAGAGGCCACCAAACTACCCCCAAGAGGCCCCCGAAAGCGCTCGTCGTCGTCGTCGTCGTCGTCGTCGTCGTCGTCGTCGTCGTCGTCGTCGTCGTCGTCGTCGTCGTCGTCGCCATTCAGGGTCGGCGGCACCGGCCGTAAGGCCTTCGCGAAAGCTAGAGCCAGTATTGCTGAACGCCCCGCCCTGCGTGCAGGCAGTAATGAGATGGGCACCGACACCACAACACAGGTTTGCGACCACCGGGGGCGGAAGATACTGGATTTTGGTGATGGTGTGAATCTTTCGGCCGCCTGGGAAGCCCAAATACTACCACCATCACCGAGATCGGGATTATCTTCCCTCGGTGGAGGCACACCGCCGACACTCAGTGCCGGCGGTGTGCCTCCTCGAAGCCTCAGGAGATCTTCGCAGGCAGGACCGGGACAAAATCGGACCTGGATAGATCCGGAATCTGTGAGATCCGGCGGTTCTGGAGGATGTGTCGGGCGCCGCGGCAGTTCCAGAGCGCTCCAGAATGCTCTGAGAGCGTTCCAGAACGCTCTGAAACAATTTTATCCCGGTCCTGGGCCAGCCCGATAAAGCCCAATCGAGGGGCCAGCAAGCCAGATTGCGCCGATTAATCCCGCTCATGCTGGGCTTGGGAACACCAAGCAGTACCAATACTGCTACCCCCCAGACCTTTCCCAGGGTGCGTTCTGACCAGAATTTCGAAGCGAATCCAGCGGCGGCGACGCGGGCCTGCTCCAGAAAAGCCAAAACGCGGGAAGGGTTGCAGCATTTTAGGTGAACAAACAATTGCGTAAGCAGAAGAACTCGGAGGTCCGCGCGGACATCGGATCGGCGCTGGGGCCCCCTGGCGGCGCTTCTGGAGCCGCCAGGGAAGGGGGTCTAGCGCCGATCCAAGAAATCTGCGCGGACCTCCGAGTTTCTATGTTTGTGTAATTGTTCGTTCCCCGAGGCATGGGTGGGTAGCACTTCCTCTTCCGAGGACTGTGCGCGACTGAGCTGTGCATGTTTTCGGCGTCGTGCGTGCGTCTGTTGTTTTTCGGTCAAACCTCGGCTCTCCGGCAGCCGCTCGGGACGATCTGGGCATCCCCAGAACGCTCTCGGCGAGGCGCAGCTGCTGGAACGTATCCCGAGACTGAAAAACCGCCGAAAACCGGGGAAAACTTCCGAACCTCCTCGCGGCCGAAAGCCACCGAGAAACCGGCAAGCTGCTGGAACGCCTCCCGAAGCTGAAAAACCACCAGAAAACCGCCGAAAACCTCCTCCACTTGGAAGGGCTGGCGTGTTAGTAGCGCTTCCCACGAATGCATTGCATTAGTATTGCATTTGCAAAGCTTAGCATTCATGTGCTATCACGTAGGTATATCTTCCTATCCCAACGTTTCCTTCGATGAACCCTTGCATTCATTTACGCACTTACCGTGTCTTGGGTTTCTGATTAGCATAGAATGTAAACGTTTCAAGCGTTAGGGTAAACGTTGTTCCAGGATGCTAAGGAGATGATAAGGTTTAGCGACTTGCCCCTCCAAGTTTGCCAGCTGATATCTAACCTGTTACAAGGGTTTAGCCAAAGGGTTAGCATCTCAGCTAAACGGTTTAGCTAAACAGTTTAGGACGTGGTCTGGCAATGTTTCTCACGCCGTGTGTTGCGCAATTTCTACAGCCGTATGGCCCATATTCAGGTTCTTTGTGTTTTGTTTGTCGCTTCTCGCCGCTTGCTCAGCCGCTGCATGTCCAACGTCCAGAAGGCCCTGGAACAGGTAGCGCCGACCATAAACGATATACTCCTGGAGTACGGCCGCGAGAGGAAGGCCGTGACTTCGTTCGAAAAGGTCCTTCACGCTTTGCGGCCTCACCACCCATTATGCTGGAAACAAGCGTGCTGCAGCCAGTTCGTCGGCACCTACCCTGGGAACCGAGGCGGCGTCTGTCTCCTCCTGAGCCACAGCATGAGCAATCTCAGCAAACACATTTCGTCGGGCTCTGATGTGAATACTTCCACCCCCGCCTTCTCCCCTGATCGCCCTGTACGTGGGGAGGGGGATGCAGGGGGAGGAGGAGGAAGATGATGAATTGGAGGAGGTAGGAGGAACAAGAGTAGGAATAGGCGGAGGAGGAAGAGGAAGATTAAGAGTAGTTTTTTTTGTGGTGAACGGAGCACATTGATAGCGTTCCCAAGTGCACTCCCTAAATATTTCCGCGGCCCGCAGGTTACTCATACGAGAAAGCGTGCGCTGGCGCGTTCGCAGTGCGGATCTCTCCTGGTTCCAGAACGGCTTCGCAGTGGCTGGCTCGCAACAACGAGCTCAACCAACTGATGGGCCTCCCTGAGTTCACCAACATGCAGTTGGCCACATTTGGTGGGTCGCACTCTAGTCTCGCTCTCCGCGCGTGCCATGCTGGTCTACCCCACGCGTCTCCAGCCGTTGCTCCGAGCGGGAAGCTCGACGCCAAAGCACTTGGCGACGTCCACCCTGGATTGGGTAAGGCGTTGGTCTCAGGCCTTGAGTGGACGGTGCTGGACCAAGCCGTCATTGACAGGTGGCCTGAACTGATTACACTCGGCCAGAAGGCCTTGAACGTCAGGGGCGCTGGCGACGCTTCAGAGATCGAAGGCCTCCTCACCATGCAGCAGTGCTACATGCACGCGTGCAAGGATGGCATGGACAGCAAGGCAGCTTGGGAGATGGCTATCAACGACGCGTTGTTGGCCGAACCGTTTTGGGGCAGCTGGGCAAAAAGTATTGCCAAGCTGGCCCAAGCGTGCAGCAATGAGCTCTTGCAGGAGGTGAGGGACTTCAAGTCGGTACTTGTGAAGGCAGCGGGGCTGGATAGTATCGGCACCCACCGTCACCACCCCCTTCTCCCCTTCCTCCTCCTCTTCCTCCTCCTCCTCCTCCTTCTCCTCCTCCTCATCCTTCTCTTCCTCCCTCCCTCCCTCCTCCTCCTCTTACTCCTGCCCCTCCTCCTCCAGAAGGGCGGGGTGGGGTGCTCTCCAGCCCCGCGATGAGGCACCTCCGAATGCGTGTTCTGCTCACGGCCACCTGGGGAGCGCTTTCATTGAGAAAGTGGCGTCGTTGAGCTGGCCTACTCAAGTGCTCCCGTTCTCGCGCGTGCGATGCGCGTGCCTGCTGGC